TCATAATTCCCTCTACCTTGACTAAGGCCCCAGTTCCAGCTGAAGAAGAACAGCCCCAAAGCATGATGCTGCCACCACCATGCTTCACGGTAGGTATGGTGTTCTTTTGATGATGTGCAGTGCTGTTTTTGTGCCAAACATATCTTTTGGAATTATGGCCAAAAAAGTTCAGCCCTTGGTTTCATCAGACCAGAACACATTTTCCCACATGCTTTTGGGAGACTTGCAAAATTTAGCCTGGTTTGGATGTTTTTCTTCATAAGAAAAGGCTTCCGTCTTGCCGCTCTACCCCATAGAACCAAATGCGATTTCTCCTGCGCTCCGGGACCCAGGCCGGTGGTGAGTAGATGAAATCAAACTCCGGAAAAGCAACCACCGGAATAAACAAGGTCGTGCAGCTCCACACCAAGGCTGGGGAAGCCCGAACAGAACTGTGAAGTAAAACAACAAGAAGCGCACCAACCTTGCGCATTACCTCAGTAACCAAACTTTATTTAGTAAAAGAGCTCTGAGGAAGAAGGCATGACCTTCGAAATGCGTCAGCTGTACTGAGTGGCTACCCCCATGATGGGATTCGCACTGGCCTCTTGCCTTTAAAGTCCCTTGGAGGACTTACATGTCTGTTTTTATTCACTGTTTGTGAGTACCATTCTTTTACTAAATAAATTTTGGTTACTGAGGTAATGCGCAAGGTTGGTGCGCTTCTTGTTGTTTTACTTCACACTCTACCCCATAGCCCAGACACATGAAAAATACGGGAGATTGTTGTCACATGGACCACAGAGCCAGTACTTGCCAGATATTGCTGCAGCCCCTTTAATGTTGCTGTTTGCCTCTTTGCACCCACATGGAAGAAAAATATATTTGAAATATATTTTAAAAATATTCTTCTCATATATATTGCCATATATTTGAAATGCTACAATTTTGGACATATTCAATATATTTCAAAATATACTTCAATAAATATATATATACACTGCATGTTGAAATGTGTTTTTATTACAAAACATATTAAAAATATTTAAAAAAAATACATTTCAAATATACAGTATGTCTTTAAAATACAAATCTACATTTTACATTTGTAAATGTACAAGGTCACAATTGCGGAAAATGAACACTCAGCTAACAGCAGCTAATTTTATGAAGGCCACTATAGATCACAAACTGAGTAGGGGATTGGTTTCTTCAGAGGCCACTACTGTATGGGTCATAGGCTGGGGGATTAGATTCTACAATGGCCACTATTGATCACAGACTGAGGGATTGAATACTATGGATGCCACTATGGATCAAAGACTGGGGGGTTGAATTATATGAGGGCCAGAATGAAACAGACTGGGACACTGGCTTTTATAGGAGTCACAATAAATCATAGACTGTAAGATTGGATTCTGTGGAGGCCACTATGGATCACAAACTGAGGACTTGGATTCCATGTAGGTCACTTTGGGTCAAAGACTGTGAAACTGGATTCTATAGAGGCCACTATAAATTACAGGTTCAAGCATCAGACAAATAACAGTTTTCCCCAGCAAAGCATATAGAGAATTATGTACTGCTGGTTTTATATAATGTGGTTGCCAGCCCAATTGTCAGCCTTTGTTTTTCAGTCAAACAAGAAACTTCAAAGAAGAAATTTATAAAAAGCTGGAGCTGGAGATTTCAGTTATAAACATTCTGAAAGGGTGAGTCTGTTTATATAGCATAGTTAGTCTGGCTGAAAACAGACAAAAGTCCATCCAGTTCAATCATAGAAAAAAAAAGAAAGTTACAATCCTATACCCACAGTTGTTCCAGAGGAAGGCAAAAAAACAGAAAAGAATGATTCAATTTGCTCCTGCTGGGAAAAAATTCCTTCCTGATCCACCGAGAGGCAATCGGATATTCCCTGGATCAATTTTACCTATAAATGTTATATCCAGTTATATTCTGTGTATCTAAGAAAGAATCCAGGACTTTCCTACAGCAATCCACTGAGCTGGCCACAACCAACTCTTGAGGGAGTCTATTTCACCTTCTCACAGCTCTCACTGTGAAGAAACCTTTCCGTGTTCGGAGATTACATTTCTTTTCCTTCAGACATAAAGGGTGCCACCTTGTCCTCTGTGATGACCTCAGGGTGAAAAGCTCTACACCGAGTTCACTATATGAACCACTGATATATTTAGACATGTTGATGATACCCCCCTTATGTATTATACATGTTGATCATATCCCCCCTTATGTATTATACATGGAGATCATATCCCCCCTTATGTATTATACATGGAGATCATATCCCCCTTATGTATTATACATGGAGATCATATCCCCCTTATGTATTATACATGGTGATCATATCCCCCCTTATGTATTATACATGGAGATCATATCCCCCTTATGTATTATACATGGAGATCATATCCCCTCTTATGTATTATACATGGAGATCATATCCCCCTTATGTATTATACATGGAGATCATATCCCCCCTTATGTATTATACATGGAGATCATATCCCCCCTTATGTATTATACATGGAGATCATATCCCCCCCTCATGTATTATACATGGAGATCATATCCCCCCTTATGTATTATACACGGAGATCATATCACCCCTTATGTATTATACATGGAGATCTTATCCCCCTTATGTATTATACATGGAGATCATATCCCCCCCTTATGTATTATACATGGTGATCATATCCCCCTTATGTATTATACATGGAGATCATATCCCCCCTTATGTATTATACATTAAGATCATATCCCCCCCTTATGTATTATACATGGAGATCATATCCCCCCTTATGTATTATACATAGAGATCATATCCCCCTTATGTATTATACATGGTGATCATATCCCCCTTATGTATTATACATGGAGATCATATCCCCCCCTTATGTATTAGACATGGTGATCATATCCCCCCTTATGTATTATACATGGAGATCATATCCCCCCTTATGTATTATACATGGAGATCATATCCCCCCCTCATGTATTATACATGGAGATCATATCCCCCCTTATGTATTATACATGGAGATCTTATCCCCCTTATGTATTATACATGGAGATCATATCCCCCCCTTATGTATTATACATGGTGATCATATCCCCCTTATGTATTATACATGGAGATCATATCCCCCCCTTATGTATTATACATGGTGATCATATCCCCCTTATGTATTATACATGGAGATCATATCCCCCCTTATGTATTACACATGGTGATCATATCCCCCCTTATGTATTATACATTAAGATCATATCCCCCCCTTATGTATTATACATGGAGATCATATCCCCCTTATGTATTATACATGGTGATCATATCCCCCTTATGTATTATACATGGAGATCATATCCCCCCCTTATGTATTAGACATGGTGATCATATCCCCCCTTATGTATTATACATGGAGATCATATCCCCCTTATGTATTATACATGGTGATCATATCCCCCTTATGTATTATACATGGAGATCATATCCCCCTTATGTATTATACATGGAGATCATATCCCCCTTATGTATTATACATGGAGATCATATCCCCCTTATGTATTATACATGGAGATCATATCCCCCTTATGTATTATACATGGTGATCATATCCCCCCTTATGTATTATACATGGTGATCATATCCCCCCTTATGTATTATACATGGAGATCATATCCCCCCTTATGTATTAGACATGGTGATCATATCCCCCCTTATGTATTATACATGGAGATCATATCCCCCTTATGTATTATACATGGTGATCATATCCCCCTTATGTATTATACATGGAGATCATATCCCCCCTTATGTATTATACATGGAGATCATATCCCCCCTTATGTATTATACATGGAGATCATATCCCCCTTAATCTTCTATTTTCAAGAGAGAATAAATTCAGTTCCTCTAATCTTTCCTCATAGCTGAGCTCCTCCATGCCTCGTATCAGTTTGGTTTCCCTTCTCTGTACTTTCTCCAGTTCCCCAACGTTCTTTTTGTGAATTGGTGCCCGAAACTGAACTGCATATTCCAGATGAGGCATTATTAATGATCTAATGATTTATACCGAATATACAGAATATTCACATTCATGTAGGAAGTTAGGTTGTGGGAGGTTAGTTAATCTTAAACTTATTTAAATCAATGTTAAACTGAAAGAGCAATTCCAAAGTTAAAACTAGATGGAGAAAACAGAAGGCCTCCCATTACCTCCACCCTTAAACTTTCTTTACACATCATTCCTTCTCCCAGAAAAAGCCTTTCCACACCCAATAGTCCTACAACCTAACTCAGTCATGGCAAGGGGCCATCAGCAGGCATGTACAGTACATGACCAGGGTAAGCCTAAAGTAATTTCTAGAATACTTTCAAACTTCATCTCCTGAAGGAACCGAGTAGAATGATAGGTTCCCTATCCTCTCACTGCAACAATATCGAAGGACTTTCAGCATTTTCTCCTTTCTCTGGGCAAATGTTGGAAAATTATTACTGGCAACAAAGGGATTTCTTGGTGCAAGTGGTTTGGCACATTACATCATTCCCTGGATGAGAAACAGAAGACCTGGGTTGGGTTCTCTACCTATGAGTTTTAGGGCTAATTTTACAGTTTAGACTGAAGTATTTATTTTGAAAGACCCTAGATCCTTGCTCCAGGGCAATGGGACAGAATCTCTTTAAAGCACACCTCCCAACAATCTTACACTCGCCTTTACAGTCCTCCCCTGTCTCTCCTCCCTTCTGTTGGCTGTCACCACAATTACCCGGTGCTTCCAGGTATGGGGAACTTATGACCTACATTGGCTATGACTTACGAATGATAGGCAAGGGAGTGATGTGAAGGTAGTATTAGATGGCAGTTTAAAGTGGTGGGGGTTTCTCTTTGCCCTAATTGGGTAAGGTGACAGGGTCTCTTTGGGAGCCCTCTAAGAAGCCAGACCTCCAGGAACTATTGTGATATATTTAGAACTATTATGGTACAAAATTGTTAATTTCACCAAGCCTGGAACTGAGAGCATAATGTTGTGGATTTCTCACCAGCTGAAAATGGCATGAAGGCCATTCGATTGCGGAACTGGCCCTCCTCATCCAGGAAATGCCCAGGGTCGAACTGTTCTGGTGTCTCCCATTGAGAGGGGTCATTAAGCACTGATGTCAGGAATGGGATGATGGTGGTGCCCTGTTAAAGAAGATAAAGAGAGTACCCGGAATACATAAGGACAATCACATCATACATGCTCAGTGCCAATGAAATCATGCCGGAGCCTGTAACAAGCTGAATACACAAATGTAACTTTGAATGTGATTCTTTGTATAATGAAGATGAGTAAAATTATGAGACGGGTATAGGAAGTATACTGGTGCCCAGGCAGAAATACAGAAATGTTTGTTACTGGCTTTTCTACACTGCTGTGTATACATTCTGCTAAGGTAAATATTAAAAGAGACAAACTCATAATGAACAGGCTGTAAGACATATAAATGCTAGCTGGCCATATACAGTACAAGACATGTAGGCAGCCACTTTTCTGGATGGCAAAAATATAATCCCATAAAATCCATTTTTGTCTGCACAGTCTGGCACAAACATGGTCTGACATGTATCATAGGCAAATACCTTTGGGATGTTGTATCCATGGAAGTGAATGTCTTTGGTCACGGCGTGGAAGATAGCAGTTGGCGCCAGGTCTAGAACTCTCTGCATTTCATGGATGACAGCATTGGTGTATGGCAGTTGTGGTCTGTCTTCCATTGTAGGTGGGTGCAGCGACTGAGTCACCTCATCAATTTCCTTTTGGACCTTTGCTGAAATGTGAAAGGAGTTACTTGTGACATCAAAAAATGTCTGTTAACTGATGAATGAGGGCTTCCAGCATGGAGACCGTTGGCCAATGCTAGCCAGTACCAGCTGGAGTCTGGAAAGAAAAGGAGAGCACACTATTGTAATGTTGTGTGATTATTGAAGGACTATAGCCAGTACAACTATCACTCATCCTATTCAGTTGCCCAATACTTGGTAACACTCAGAGCTCCATCAGTTATCTCCATGCAACCATCAAACAACTAGCTGCCTCCTTAGGCACTATGCAGTCCTTGGCCAGAGATGGTCTCCGGATTTTGCTATTCTAAAGAGGTGCACAGAAGAGATATTTGGTGTTTAAAAGGGAGATGTGGCCCATGTGTTCCATGAAACATGTAGATATGAATAAAGTTTTTTTTTGGGCTATCATTCTTCTCCTAAATGTCTTTTCAGAGAACCTCCTAGGTCAGTGATGGCGAACTTATGGCACGCGTGCCAGAGCTGGCACGCAGAGCCATCTCAGTGGGCACGCCAGGAAGAAGAGGAAGATGAGCGCACACGGACCACGCACACTGACCGGCCATCCCAGATCTCGTCCACACTGGACCCCCATCAAACTACATCTCCCATATGTCTCTGGGACCAGGGTGGGTGTGGACGAGAGGAAACGGCTCCTATGCGGATCTGGCACCAGGGGTGATGTAGCCGGGGATGGGCGTGGAAGAGAGGAAGAGGCTCCCACACTGCTCCGGGGCCAGGGGCAACGTGTTCAGCGTGGATGGGAAATGAGCTGCTGGGCTGGAAGCCACACCGACACTGCCAGAGGTGAGATTAACTGCTTGCCAACCATGCTATAGCCAAAAGATGGCTACAGTGTGGTTGTCTAGTTCTGGGAGGGCGTCCCAGAACGCGAACCCAGTGGCACACACCCTGGGGTGCCGGTGATCGCTGTGTCCTATGGATACAGCTGATCACGTGATAAGGTAAAAGGCCAATCACAGCAGGCTTTTACCACGTGATCAACTGTATCCAATGACACAGCTGATCACAATGTAAATACAGTTGCTGGTTATTGGCTGCACACTGTCATAGATTGAAGAAAGTACTGCAGATAACTGGTAAATGTGACAGGGGAGATCTGCACTAATAATCAGGGCATTGATTATCAGTGCCGTTCAGCAGTGCCCAGCAATGCCGCCCAGCAGTGCCCAGTAGTGTCACCCATCAGTGCCCAGCAGTGTCGCCTGTCAGTGCTGCCCAGCAGTGCCACCTGTCAGTGCCCAGCAGTGTCGCCCATCAGTGCTGCCCATCAGTGCCACCCATCAATGATGCCCAGCAGTGCCGCCAGTCAGTGCTGTCTGTCAGTGCCTCCAGTTGGTGCTATCAGTCAGTGCCGCTTATCAGTGCCCATCATTGCTGAATATCAGTGCATCATCAGTGCCTCCTGATCAATGCACACCAGTGCCACCTTATCAGTGCTACCTATCTGTGCCGCCTCATCAATGCCCATCAGTGCTGCCTATCAGTGCAGCCTCACCAACGCACATCAAAGAAGAAATATTACCTGTTTGCAAAATTTTGTAATAGAAGCAAAGCAAACCTTTTATGTTTTTAATTTTTTGCTCTTTTTTCATTTATAGTGCAAAAAATAAAACACCCAGTGGCAATTAAATACCACCAAAAAAAGCTCTATTTGTGTGAAAAAATGATAAAAATTGCATATGGTTACAGTGTTGCATGACCGCACAATTGTCATTGTCAAGTGCAACAGCACTGAAAGCTGAAACTTGTCCTGGGCAGGAAGGGGGTAGACGTGGCTGGTAGGCAAGTGGTTAATTGCAGTGTTGGCACTTTGAAATAAAAAAAGTTGGTTTTGTGTTGCAGTTTTGGGCACTCAGGCTCAAAAAGGTTCACCATCACTGTCCTAGGTCAAGCAAAATCAATATGTCAGTTATGTTGTGTTTGTGATGTAGTGTTGGATGAAGTGGGCAAGGGTTGAATATCTGACAGACAAATGTACCAGATTGTTCTGCATTCCACAATGGTTGTTATTGATCTTACCCTGGACATCAGAGTGGTGGGCCAAGAAGACCAAGCAGAATTTCAGGGTGGAAGCGGTGGTCTCAGAACCTGCTGATATCAGACTCACCAACATTGCTTGCAGGCTGACATCACAGAAATCTGGGTCCTCTTCGTGCTCCACCTGAGGAGACAGATGGGGGAATAAACCCAATGGAAACCAGCAACAAGGATTAACCAAACACCCACATCAGGTTACAATAGCATATAATTTGCATATATAGAGTATTGTGCAAAAGTTAGATGTGAAGAAATGCTGTAAAGTTAGAATGCTTTAAAAAATATATATTTTAATTGTTTCATTTTATCAATTTACAAAATGAAAGGTAAGTGAATAGAAGAAAAATCTAAATCAAATCAATATTTGGTGTGACTACCCTTTAGCTTCAAACCAACATCAGTTCTTGCCATTGCACACTTTGTACAATTGAACAAAGTCAGGGATTTTGTAGGATTAGAGTCAAGTGTATGAGTAGCCA